GTGCAATTTACGTTTAAATTGATTAATTCTATATGATCCGTTATTGATAAACTAACTCACAAATTATAAAATTGGCTTACAGTTGATAAAGTAGAAACAAATAATGAACATGTCGATACAGTAGGGACAATTAATCATCGATAAAGTAATTTCTATTTTTGTTCAATAACAGAGATCTATTTTATCGATAATATAAGCTAAGTTTTGTCGCTAGATGGCATTATGTACAAATATTGGTAAATTTAATTAATAATAATAAAATGTTAATGTTATACAAATCAAGACGAAATGAAATGTGCAAATACCAATATAATTATCGAATTTTAGATAATTAAAAAGTATAAAAATTTTCAAAAAAAATTATAAAATACAATTTCACGAATTCAATTCGTTCTTAAATTCAAAAATTAAAAATTTTATATATGTATATATAATTTATTATAAAATTATGTGACTTTTTACATAATTCGCCAAGTTTCTTAAATACTTTATCCCAGACTAAATAAAAACATCATTCGAACCCTCTGTTCCAACCTGTTCACTGACTGATTTCGTATATTTTCTGAATCAATATTGAACCTTTCATGTGACCTTGGCACAACAGGTAGGTTAGTTAGAACGAAACAGGTCTTGCTCATCGCTTCTTTTTTTTTTCTTCACATTTTTACAGACTGGACGAATTATAGTCATTTGTTCTCAATATCAAATTCATGTCCATCAAAATCTCTCCTCTTAATGATCGATGGGCCAGTTTTCAATACATGGTCGATTATAATGTTGAATGCAATTTACATATCAATAGAAATACAGTGAATCGTCAAAAATATATTTTCAGTTGCTGAATTGCAAGCTCGTTTATTAAAAAATAACCTTTTTTAATATTGTACTTTTTTTTATTTTCATAGATTTATGATTAAAAACTTTTTTCTTGCAAAAACATTTACTATGTTTCGGTAACGATACTCTTCAGATTATATAATCCTTTTGATATTAAAGAATACAAATTTCATAATTTGATTTAGTAATTTAAGAGAAAAGAGACGAATCTTTGCTTACTGTAATTAAAATGATTTCTATCATCTTTTATCTATGATATAATCCGATCGTTATTTGTTAATTTTCCAAGAAAGTTGCAAAATTGTGGAAAGTGTTACAACCGAGAATGAAAAGTATTCACTTCATGCTTAAAGATAGAAGTTTCGAAGAAAATGTGTTAAGAGTTCCGTTTAAAAAGGAATAAGGTGATTCCGTAAGTAAGATTACCAGAAAAGTCGTAGTAAAAAAATAATCGAAACGTCTTGAAAGCCGTCACAATTAACATAGCTGGCAATAAAATAGGAAACATACGAGTATACATGTCATGACGAGTCTAAATATTCGATTTCGTTCATACCACTTAGAAATCCTTCGAGTGTTCTCGCTCTTGAGTTAAAATGTTACCACTTGAGGGACGAACTTGCACCACTTTCACCAGTTTTAGAAGAATGCGATTCTTTATTTATCAAATATCTTTTCATAACGATGCAAAGGAAATATTTGTACATATAAAATTCATAATTGTATCATGTCACATCTACAACAATAACAAGAAAAAATTATTTTATCATTCGATGTAATTATATTGTACACACGTGTAATATCAGTTATGAAAAACGAATATAAAGTACAATTAACCAATATTCATATTCTATTTCTAAAAGAACATAAAAGTGTAAAAAACGTTCTTAAATCTTTTTTTTAAAAAAGCAAAATAGCTTGCTTTTTTACTTACATCGAATTTTTATTGGCTCACTTTCGACATGTTGCGATTTTGATTTTTCCAGATTCTTGGCTCTGCGTTATAGTTGAATACAATTTAATCTGTATCCTTATTCAATATATTCTCATTCGTTCGCCATGTTTCTTCCTCGTTATAGAATACGTACCAATTTGAACATCCGAATTTGCTTTCGGTAAGAAATGCCGCGAAGAACATTTGTTTCGGCTCAGGAGGAGGTCCATACCCTGTAGGTGGTTGCCACGAACGAATCTCGACCTCGGCCATCTGGAACGACTTAAAACACGGAGAATGAGAAAGAAAAGGATGAGCCATTCCAAGCCATTCTTCTTCGATGTCCTTTCCTTCGGCCTCGTGCCCTTTTCGTATCCACCTTAGATATACGTGCACGAAAAGGACTCGGGCCTGAAAGAACGGTCAATCTCTCTATTGACAATGCGGTTAGATTAACTTGTAAACGGGCATAGATTAACCTCTAGATTATAGATTTCATGTCAAACATTGCCACCAGTCGTTCAATGGGAGGGGGGGGGGAGGAAGAGAAAAGTATTTTAAATGATTTGCCATTTATCGTAGCTTACATTGATCCAGGTTTAGACGCCACCAGTCAATCAGTCACATTCGTGATCATTCTTATTCAGACATTCTTCTCGAATTCTTTTTCATTACCGTTAAATACAACTGAAACAAAAAAAGTTTTATTCCGACGAAAGGATTATAATAACGGAAATGAGGCAGATGAAAAATTATATCGAAGCGTTATTCACGAAAGAGGAAGGAAGTTCGAAAGATTCGTGAAAAAGACGGAAGAGAGAGAGAGAGAGAGAGAGGGGGGGCCGGAAAGAACATGGAGAAGGAAGAGAACATCAAAGAGAAGCGACAACGGATACGCGTAAACCTTGAGCTGTGAATGCCGAAAAACCGACAGAGCTTCGAAGTAACTGACGCGTTCTCGGGAAAACTCATCAAAGAGCCGTGGATGGATAAATGTAACCGGCCGTTTAACGCGAACCCCTCGCTAATTTTAATTGCCGCCTGATTTACGTTTCGATACGTCGTTCCTTTTTGCAATTCTATTTTTTCCCCACTTCGCGCCACCAAGATTCCCCCCACTCCTCGTGCTTGCAGCGCACCACACATGGACGTGGACGTCGCGCGAGACACGTTGTTACGAGGTTATGAACGTCAACGTGGATCCGTGGAAAAAAATGATAAATGTCCCGAGGACAAGCGGATACGTGAATACCGTGATTTGTCGCTACGCTGGGATCACGATTTGTCATGAAATTTAATTACAAACGCCGCGAGAATTGAGTTGTTACGTGTTTGACATTCGAGATCGAGAATAATTTCACTCAACTTGGACGGATTTGATCGTGAAAATGTTTTGTATAGTAACTGAGTGCTAATAAAATTTAGATATCACATCGAATCAAAATAGGAGAAGTAGAAGAGATGAAAGGCGAAGAGGGAAATTCGATCGATCAAGTTGTATATTTCTTTCTTCCTTCGTTTCAAGTAGGTATCCAGAATTAGATTCCGTTTTTCTTGCAATTGCACGTCTATTCTATCGTTCCTACGGTATTCAGGGGAACACGGAAGCGACATAAGTGAGGACGCAATATTCAGTTTGGTTTGATGCCACAGTCCGTCACCCCTGCGGCTGTTTTCACACAAAACAAAGAAACCCATCCCTCCACGTCGATATTTCCTCGTTCCTGTCATCGTCGTTCTCCTTTCTCGAAGGGCGGTACTCTCTACCCCACCTAGCCACCCTTTCCTTCGTCGACCTGCGCCTTTCTTCGATCGCGATGCACGGAAGTTCAGGGCTGCGGACATCAAGGGGCGATGAGAGCGTTGTTACCATTGGCTTAAACATATAATTACGAAAAATGATGGATTTTAAATTCGAGAGTAAAAGTGTTGTTTTATAATCAGAAGAGAGTGAAAGTGTGCGACGTGTTTGGTATCTTTGAATCGCTATGGAATGTATAGCAATGGTTGAAATTGAAAGATCAATATTACAAGCGACGTATCATAATATAAATATAAATTGCAAAAACCAAGGAAATGAAGCATCATCTAATAAAAGGCAACACAAATTAATTCGTTTTTGGTTTATCAGCGTAGCAAGAGCTACGAGATATCTCTGAAGAAAGAAAGAAGGGGCAACTATACTTGGCCATCGTCGCCGGAGTATGGTGTCTTTGGCAGACAGCGTGGCACCGAAGGCTCTCTATCCTTCTTTTTTTCTCGGGCGTGGCAATAAGGAAGTGGGCCCGCTGCTTAAGAAAACAGAGAACCGCCAATATCGGGCAGGGCCTGAGAAAACAGAGAACCGTTTTCGAAATCCTGTCCAGGATACGAAGCGACTTGGCTTTCCATCATGAATGAAAACCTGAATACTCGCGAGTCGTCACGAAAAACCTGGGCAACCTGAGCAGCGGATAACGGTAGGAATATCTCTTTGAGCCATGCCGTACCAGTGGAAATTTCTGAAATAAATATCTTAAATATAATTCAACTCGCTATATAAAAAAAGTAACAAAAGAATTTAATGTAAAAATTTAATTAGAGAATTTTACGAATTTTAATAATATTATAACTTTTAAGTATATATATATATATATATATATATATATATATATATT